TCACTTGATTCTTAGATTCACTTGTTGATAGATGCATATTTGTTGTTCATAATTTGTATCTTTACCTTTTTCTTCTTCTTCCTCTTCTTAAAGGATACCTTTCAGCATTTCATATAATCCTGGTTTGGTGGTGATGAACTCCTGTAGCTTTTCCTTATCTGTGAAGCTCTTTATCTGACCTTCAATTCTGAATGATAGCTTTGCTGGATAAAGTAATCTTGGTTGTAGGTTCTTGGTATTCATCACTTTGAATATTTCTTGCCACTCCCTTCTGGCCTGCAAAGTTTCTGTTGAGAAATCAGCTGACAGTCATATGGGTATTCCCTTGTAGGTAACTGAGTTTCTTTCTCTTGCTGTTTTTAAGATTCTCTCTTTGTCTTTTGCTCTTGGCATTTTAATGATGATGTGTCTTGGTGTGGTCCTCTTTGGATTCCTTTTGTTTGGGGTTCTCCGCGCTTCTTGGACCTGTAAGTCCATTTCTTTCACCAGGTGGGGGAAGTTTTCTGTCATTATTTCTTCAAATAGATTTTCAATATCTTGCTCTCTCTCATCTTCTGGCACCCCTATAATTCTGATGTTGGTACGCTTGAAGCTATCCCAGAGGCTCCTTACACTATCCTCGCATTTTTGGATTCTTTTTTCATTTTGCTTTTCTGGTTGGGTGTTTTTTGCTTCCTCGCATTTCAAATCATTGACTTGATTCTTGCGCTCCTCTGGTCTGCTGTCGGGAGTCTGTATAATATTCGTTATTTCAGTCCGTGTATGCTTAATTTCTAGTTGGTTCCCCAATATAACATCGAGGGTCTCATTAGTTTTCTTATAGATCTCATTAAGTTTATCGGCGGCTTCTAAACAGTTCTTGAGAGACCTTAAAAGTGTGGTTCTGAACTCTATATCTTCCATTGACAATTTTGTCCTGTTTCTTTGTCTCCGCATTTTGTTATGCTTCTTTGGTGCACCCCCTAGTGGTCTTTGTGCGCAGTCTTATAGTTAAACCTTGGTTGTTGTAGCTAATACCAGGGAGGTCAAGTGGCCACCTCCAGGCCAAGTGGCTATGAGAATCAGCTGTGTCTGCAGTGAGAGAACTTCTGTCCTCTAGGGAGGTGCTAATCTAGCCTTTGCCTGAGGCTATCCGGCAAATGCCTCTGTGCAGGGCTTGGGCGGGGCGGGTCGAACAGGATCAACAGGGTGGGCTGGGGAGAGCAGTTATGGCGGCTCTCAGTCCTGTCCCCAGGGGCTCTGCCTCTCTGAGTCCCAGCACCCGCTGCAAAGCTCGGAGAGAAAGCTGCACTCGCTCTGACCGAAGCCAGACAGTCCCGCTTCTCCCGTTTGAGTCTGGGTCCCTAAAGACTCGCCTGTATCTGGAGCTCAGAGTCTGCGACTCCCTCCCGATTGAAAACGCCAACCGCGCCTTCCGCCGCCAGCCCGCTCCGCGCACTCCGCACCTCAGAATTTGACTTCAGCACTGCGCCTCCTCTGAGTGTCCGCATGCGTTTCTCTTTCCTCCTAGTTGTAGGACTTCCACTCAGCCAGCGTTCCTGTGGTTCTGGGTGATGTCCGTTCCGTTTTTTAGTTTCACTTTTGAAGTAGTTGTTCAAGGCAGCAAACTCCGGCGTTAACCTATGCCGCCATCTTGGTTCTCTCCATATACGTGTTTTCTGATGGTCTTAGGCGACCCCTGTGAAAGGGTTGTTCGACCCCCAAAGGGGTCGCAACCTATAGGTTGAGAACTGCTGCTCTAGCATTTCTTGCTATGCTGATTTCATGGTACTGAACTCATTTAACCCTTTCTGTTGTTGTTCTGGGAAGCTGTTAATTTTGCCTTCAATTTTGAATAGTAGCCTTGTTGGGAAGAGCAGTCTTGGATGCAGGTTATTGCTTTTTGTTACTTTGAATACTTCATGCCATTCCTTTATGGCCTGAAGTGTTTCTGTTGAGAAATCAGCAGACAGTCTAATGGGATCTCCTTTAAAGGTAACTTTCTCGCTCTCTCTCTTGCTGCATTTAATATTATTTCTTTATTCTTAACATTTGCCATTTTAATTATGATGTGCCTTAGAATGGGTTTCTTTGGGTTCATCTTTATAGGGACATTCTGTGCTTCCTGGACTTGTGTGACTTTTTTCTTCACCAGGTTAGGGAAGTTTTCTGTCATCATTTCTTCAAATAGGTTCTCTATACTCTGCTTGCTTTCATCTCCTTCTGAAACTTATATGATGTGTGTGTTGTCCCAGAGTTCCCTTAAACTATCCTCATTCTTTTATATTCTTTTTTCTTTTTGTTGGTCTGACTGGTGGTGTTGTTTTTTTCTACCTTGTATTCCAAATTGCTGATTTGATCCTTTGTCCAGCCTGGTTTTTATTTCTTTGAAGGTATTCTTGATGCTAGATATGGTATTCTTCATTTCCTACTGATTTTTATTTATGGTTACTATGTTCTTTTTCATGATTATGTAGTCCCCAGTGAGTTTCTTATAGTTCCCATGAAGATTCTTGTAGTTCTCACTAAGTTCCTTGAGCATCCTTATATCCATTACTCTCAGTTCTATGTCTGATAAACATCTTGTTTCCATTTCATTTCATTCTTTTTCTGAAGAATTTTTCTTTTTCATTTGGGGATTATTAGTTTGTATACCCATTTTAGCAGTCTCTTTGTGTTTTTTTATATGTCTTAGATACTAGTGCTATGACTCCCACATTTCATGGGTGGCCTTATGGAGTATGTGTTCTATAGGATGCAGTGGTGCAGTCTCCTTGCTCTGCTGAGCTTGCTGCACTTGGAATGTCCTTGTGTAGATTATGTGGGCCCTTCTGTTGTAATTGGGTCTTGATTGCTGTTGGCCTATTTGTGAGTGGGATCAACTTTTAGGCTGGCTGCCTTAGGCTCAATCTGACCACTGTGAGCAAGCTCCTCTGCAGGTGTAGTCTTGAAGTGTCTTGCTAGGCTCAGTGGCACAATCTTCCTGATCGTCTATGCTCCACACTTAGGAATGTTTTTTGTGGTTCATGTGCACCCTCTATTGTCATTGTGTCCTGATGTATGCTCTTGAACCTTTCATGGATGGAATTAACCCTTCAAGCTGGGTGGCAATAAGGGTGAACCTCGATCAGGGTATATGAGATATTGTTCACGGCCTGCCCCCAAGGCAGAATTGCTCATAGAAGAATCTCGTGCCTTCTGAATTATTCCTTTGTATGTGTCATTTGTGTAGCTGATTGGGTCACACTCTGGTGTTTCTGAAGCCCACCACTGGCTGTGTTGGTTCTGGTTCCGCTTGGGTGGTTTTGAGGTTCAGCTCACTTTCAGAAGTTGTGGGTAATGGTTTGGGGCTACATGTCTGGAGCTTCCACACTGTTCACTGCTTGTGTCTGCATTTACTGGACCTGGCAGTGCATGGGAGGGGCCAGTCTGTGTAGACTGGTTGTGTTCCTGGGGCTCTGAACTGGGGTCACATCTATAAAAGACCAAGGTATCCCATTGATGTTGCCTGGAATTCCCCCAGAGTCTTACACAGGAAGGCTGTAGAGTGGGCCCAAGCTGGCCATGCCCCACTGACCCATCCACAAGGCTCAGGCTGGGTGTGGCAGGGTGACCAGGTTGGGCACACAGGGTTAGTGGCTCCCCTAGTTTGAGGCAGCATGGTCTGGTACTCAATGGAGAGAATGTGGCCCCTATTCCCAAGCGATACCATTCAGACTCAGTACCTGAGTCTCCAACTCTATCTTCCCCAGGAGGAGTGCACCACAGGTTTAGTTTTGGTGTAGTCTGCTGTCCTCACTGCAGGTGAAAGTTCAAAAGGACAGGATAGATTCACTGGGACTTGGGAAAATAAATGGAGAAAGCCTTTTTTTAGGGTGGTACCAACTGTGCCACAGGAAGGAGGTGAGCTGCACTACTTTTAGGTTTGTAGCCACTCCCGCTTAAGCCTTGGACTAGAACCTTTAAGGTAGATATGCTCTGAATATCCCAGCTCTGCGTAGAGCCTCCTTCTCCCTCAAAACTGAGCCTACCTGGATGGGACCATCTGGGCTTTCCCTGCTCTCTTTACCCCTGCAGGACTTGGAGGAACAGATCAGGGTAGCCTTCCACTTAGGATGGCACCAGCTCTTTTGAGGGGAGAGAGCTGCAGCACACTACCAAAGAACCTACTGGAGGGCTCTGAGTAGGTTGCATCAAATGTCCCAATTCTGAATTGTGCCCCATTCTCTCTGCAGGTATGAGTTTAGCAGGATGGAGCCAGCAGTATTTGGGAGTACAAATCCAGTCTATCATTGCCTGACCAGCATAGCTCAGTGGTTGAGTGTCAGCCTATGAACCAGGAGGCCACAGTTCAATTCCCGGTCAGGGGATATAACCAGGATTGCAGGTTTGATCCCCAGTGGGGCCATACAAGAGGCAGCCGATCAATGATTATTTCTCATCATTGATGTTTCTACCTCTTTTTCCCTCTTATTTCCTCTCTGAAATAAAAAAAAATATATTTTTTAAAAATGGGAAATAATCCAATCCATCCATTGATTGGGGTGGCACCAGTCCTTGGCCCTTGGGAGAGGAGCTAGCTGCTTGCCTTCTAGCTTGGCAGCACCTCATCAGAAATCCTGAAGGGAGGTTCCAAGTGGGCTGTGCTCCAGATGTCTCAGTTCTGAGTTGTGCCCCATTTGCCCTGCGAGGCTGCACCAGCAGGAAGGTACCAGGGGTCTTGGAGGAAAATATCAAGGCTGCTCCCCCTGTTTGAGGTGGTGCCAGTTCTTGGGGATGAGAGAGATGCCTGCCTTTTTTTCTATCCCTGCAGTGCCCTAACTTGTTTGAAGGCATCATATCAAATGTCCAAGCTCTGAGTTGTGCTGTAAGAATAGACGTGCTGGACCCTAGGAGATGGCAACTCAGGGCTCAGGACCAGGACCGCAAAAAACTATCTTTTAGATTTCCAGAGCTATGCCACCCAGATCTTCTCTTTATGGCTTCTGTATGCCCCGAGTCTCCTTCCCTCTATAAGAGCCATGGGTGAGTGCCCAAGGGTGATTCCGTTTGTTACTCTTTAAGGAGATTACCTGGGATTCAAACAGACTCCCTCCTCTTTCCAGTGGACAAAGTCCCTGCTGCCAGATGCTATGCAGACTTTTCTTGGTCTGACTTGTGGACCCTTCTGTGGGGGCTTTTGCAGCTTCAATATTTCTCCAACTTCACCACCGCTGCCCCTGCCTGGGTGCAGGGACCAGCCCTCTTTGCATCTCCACCCTTCTTATCACAGAGTCCTGAACTGTCCTACCTGATTTTTCTCCTGTAGCACTTAATATCTTCTAACTTACAATAAAATTTACTTAATTACACTTGCTTTTTGTCTCCCCAAGAAAATAAGGCCCATGAAGGTAAGGATCTTTGCTTTGTTTACTATGATTTTGAAAGCTTTTAGGACAGTACCTGTCACAATGTTAAGTGAATTCCTTATAAGAAGAAACTATAAGAAGTAACTACAGGTTATTTCAGTATCTGTATTATTCATATATGCATAAAGTCGTAATAGTCCAACCACCTTCATAATTTCTTCTTTTTAAAAATATTTTTCCCCCTAGCTAGTTTGGCTCAATGGAGAGTATGTCATCTCGAGGACCGAAGGGTCACAGGTTTGATTCTGGTCAAGGGCATGTACTTTGGTTGCAGACTCGATCCCAGCTCCAGTCAGGGCATGTACAGGAGGCAACAAATCAGTGTGTCTCCTCACATCGATATTTCTCTGTGTCTCCTCCTCCCTTCCACTCTCTCTAAAAATCAATGGAAAAATATCCTCGGGGAGTATTAACAACAACAAAAAATACTTTTCAATTACAGCTGATATAAAATATATTACTTTTCGGTATACAATCTATTAAATTAGTCATTTACTATATACCTGAAAAGTGATCACCCCAATAAGTCTAATACCCATCTGACACCATACATAGTTTTTACAAAGTTACTGACTATATTTCTTATGCTGTACTTGATCCTATATAATAAAGAGGTAATATACAAATTGACCATCACTCCAACACACAAGATGGCCGTCCCCATGTGGTCAAGGATGGCCGCCCCCATGTGGACACAAGATGGCCACCACAAGATGGCCAGCAGGGGAGGGCAGTTGGGAGGAACCAGGCCTGAAAGGAAGGGCAGTTTGGGGGCGATCAGGCCTGCAGGGGAGGGCAGTTAGGGTTGACCAGGCCTGCAGGGGAGAGCAGTTAGACTGGATTGGCAGGGTAGGGCAGTTGGGAACGATCAGGCCTGCAGGGGAGGACAGTTAGGGGCAATCAGGCTGGCAGGGGAGCAGTTAAGCATTAATCAGGCTGGCAGGGGAGTGGTTAGGGGGTAATCAGGCTGGCAGGCAGAAGCGGTTAGGGACAATCAGGCAGGTAGGCGAGCAGTAGGGAGCCAGCAGTCCTGGATTGTGAGAGGGCAGCCGGACATACTTCAAGTGGTCCCAGATTGGAAAGGGTGCAGGCTGGGCTGAGGGACACACACCCGCATGCACGAATTTCATGCACTGGGCCTCTAGTATTTTTATAACTATTTTTATTTTTCCCCCTTACTTGATGAAACATATACAAAAAAGCAATGCTAAAAGCAATGGCAGAAAGTTTCCTGCCTATGTTGTTTTCTAGGATTTTTATGGTTTCAAGTCTTACATTTATGTCTTTAATCCATTTTGAGTTCATTTTTAGATATTGCAAAAGAAGGTGTTCTTGTTTTATTTTTTGCATGTTCCTGTCCAGTTTTCCCAACACCAATTATTAAAGAGACTGTCTTTACCACATTGTATATTATTGCCTCTTTTATTAATTGACCATATAGGCATGGGTTTATTTCTGGGCTCTATTGTGTTTCATTGATCTTTGTGTCTATTTTTATACCAATTCCATCTGTTCTGATTACTAACACCTTGTGGTATAGATTGAAGTCAAGTAGCATGATACAGCCAACTTTATTCTTTCTCAAAATTGCTATCGTGGTTCAGGGTCTTTTGTGGTTTTGTATACATTTTTGGATTATTTGTTCTAGTTATGTGAAAAATTCCATTGGTATTTTTGATAGGGATTTCATTGAGTATGTGGGTTACTTTGGGTATTAACCTTGCTTATTTTTTTTTTTAATCAGTGAGCATAGTATATCTTTTTAATTACTTGTATCTTAATTTCTTTTTTTTATTGCTTAAAGTATTACTAAGAGTATTACATATGTCTCCTTTTTATTCCCCTGCCCTTGATAATCCCCAGGCCTCCCCTACCCCCCAGTGTCTTATGTCCATTGGTTATGCCTATATGCATGCATACAAGTCCTTCGGTTGATATCTTACTCTCCCCCGCTCTGATCCCCCCTCCCCACCCCAGCCTTCCTGCTGTAGTTTGACAGTCTGTACGAAGCAGCTCTGCCTCTGTATCTATTTTTGTTCATAAGTTTATAATGGTCTTTATTATCCATAAATGAGTGAGATCATATGGTATTTTTCCTTCATTGGCTGGCTTATTTCACTTAGCATAATGCTCTCCAGTTCCATCCATGCTGTTGCAAATGGTAAGAGTTCCTTCTTTTTTACAGCAGCATAGTATTCCATCGTGTAGATGTACCACAGTTTTCTAATCCATTCATCTACTGATGGGCACTTAGGCTGTTTCCAGATCTTAGCTAGGGTGAATTGTGCTGCTATGAACACAGGGGTGCATATACCCTTTCTGATTGGTGTTTCTGGTTTCTTGGGACATTCCTAGAAGTGGGGTCACTGGGTCAAATGGGAGTTCCATTCTTAACTTTTTGAGGAAACTCCATACTGTCTTCCATAGTGGCTGCACCAGTCTGCATTCCCACCAGCAGTGCACGAGTGTTCCTTTTTCTCCACATCCTCTCCAGCACTTGTCGTTTGTTGATTTGTTGATGATAGCCGTTCTGACAGGTGTGAGATGGTACCTCATTGTTGTTTTGATTTGCATCTCTCGGATGATTAGCGACTTTGAGCATGTTTTCATATGTCTCTTGGCTTTCTGAATGTCCTCTTTTAAAAGGTGTCTATTTAGGACCTTTGGATTGTTTATCTTCCTTTTGTTGAGTTGTATGAGTTCCCTATAAATGTTGGAGATTAAACCGTTTTCAGTGATAGCATTGGCAAATATGTTCTCCCATGTAGTGGGCTTTCTTGTTGTTTTGTTGATGGTTTCTTTTGCTGTGCAGAAACTTTTTATTCTGATGTAGTCCCATTTGTTTATTTTCTCTTAAGTTTCCAATGCCCTAGGATCTGTATCGGTGAAGAAATTGCTTCGGCATATGTCTGAGATTTTGTTGCCTTTGGATTCTTCTAGTATTTTTATGGTTTCCCGTCATATTTTTAAGTCCTTTATCCATTTTGAGTTTATTTTTGTGTATGGTGTAAGTTGGTGGTCTAGTTTCATTTTCTTGCATGTATCTGTCCAATTTTCCCAACACCATTTATTGAAGAGACTGTCTTGACTCCATTGTATGTTCTTTCCTCCTTTATCAAATATTAATTGAGCGTATTGGTTGGGGCTGATTTCTGGGCTCTCTATTCTGTTCCATTGATCTATATGTCTGTTCTTGTGCCAGTACCAGGCAGTTTTGAGAACAGTGGCTTTGTGATACAGCTTGATATCTGGTATTGAGATTCCACCTCCTTTGTTCTTTCTCAGGGTCGCTGAAGCTATTCGGGGTTGTTTTTTATTCCAGATGAATTTTTGGAGAGTTCTTTCTAGGTCTGTGGAATATGCAATTGGTATTTTAATGGGAAGTGCGTTGAATTTATAGATTGCTTTGGGCAGTATGGACATTTTAATGATGTTGATTCTACCAATCCAAGAACATGGTATGTTCTTCCATCTCTTTATGTCTTCCTCTTTCTCTTTTTTCAACGTCCTGTAGTTTTCTGAGTAGAGGTCTTTTACCTCCTTAGTTAAGTTTATTCCTAGGTAGGTTAATTTTTTTGGTGCAGTGGTAAAATGGGATTGCTTTTGTAGTCTCTCTTTTTGCAAATTCACTATTGGTGTATAGAAATGCCATAGATTTCTTGGCGTTAATTTTGTATCCTGCTACATTGCCGAATTCTTTTATTAAGTCTAAGAGTTTTTGATGGAGTCTTTAGGGTTTTTTAAGTATAATATCATGTCATCTGCAAATAAGGACAATTTTACTTCTTTTCCAATTTGGATGCCTTTTATTTCTTCTTTTTGTCTAATTGCAATGGCTATTACTTCCAGTACTATGTTGAACAGGAGTGGTGAGAGTGGGCATCCCTGTCTTGTTCCTGTTCTTAGGAGAAATGGTGTTAGTTTTTGTCCATTGAGTATGATGTTGGCTGTGGGTTTGTCATCTATGGCTTTTATTATGTTGAGGTATGATCCTTCAATTCCCACCTTGCTGAGAGTTTTTATCAAAAATGGGTGTTGAATTTTGTCAAGCGCTATTTCTGCATCAATTGATATGACTATGTGGTTTTTTTCTTTCAATTTGTTTATGTGATGTATCACATTTATTGATTTGCAGATATTGTACCATCCTTGCATCCCTGGGATAAATCCTACTTGGTCGTGGTGTATGATCTTTCTGATGTACTGCTGGATCTGATTTGCTAGAATTTTGTTGAGGATTTTGGCATCTATGTTCATGAGGGATATTGGCCTGTAATTCTCTTTCATTGTGTTGTCTTTACCTGGTTTTGGTATTAGGGTGATGCTGGCTTCATAGAATGAGCTTGGAAGTGTTCCTTCCTCTTGGATTTTTTGTAGTAGTCTGAGGAGGATAGGTTTTAGTTCTTCCTTGAATGTTTGGTAAAACTCCCCTGTGAATCCGTCTGGTCCTGGGCTTTTGTGTGCTGGAAGCTTTTTGATGACTGGTTCAATTTCTTCCATAGTTATTGGCCTGTTGAGATTTTTAGATTCTTCCTGATTAAGTTTTGGAATTTTGTGTTTTTCTAGGAATATGTCCATTTCCTCCAGGTTGTCTAGTTTGTTGGAGTAGAGTTTTCC